TATTACCTGATCTATTTTTTCCTTGGTACCATTAATATGTGTCTATACTACCAGATCTGGTTTCATGGTGCATAGAGAAATTCAAATTCAATGTAATGGTCTAATATTTTCAAAAGTAGATTTGATCATTAATTCAAACAAACTTAAAGTATAATATTAATACATAGATAATCAAAAGTAAATTGTGTTGAGGTTGAAAGAAAGGAAGGAAATAAAGTTTGTTTTATTGATGATATCATCCAACTTCAGATTTTCAGATAGGGAACGTTTATAATTGAGAAAATATATAAATGAGGACACAAGTGCTGCAATAAATAGCAGCAAAACAAATCTTATGCCAAGTACGGGCTTGAAACAACTTTTCTAAGATTTCATTAATCACTTTCAACTAAACTGGCTAGTCAAGGCCTGGAGCTCACAGATGATTTGTTGCTTTGTTTTTATAAACTATTTCTATGGTGGCATCCATCAGAAAATGTTGCTCCAATGTAATTAGTTGCCTAGCAATGTCATGAACTGCAAGCAGAAGTATACTCTGAAATGATAAGTTAATGTGTTGGCTGCATATTACATTTTTTTAAAAAAAAATGTCCTCCTACACTTTTTAAAACCAATTCCCTTGACTGAGGTTTATGTGATCCTTTATACATTTACTTGAAAGTAAGACCCACTGTATCAGTGGAGCTCACATCCTCATGTATTCAGGACTGAAGTTTTGAACTGTAAGTCTGTGCACTTTCACCTAAAACTAAGCTGTGTTGAAGTCAGTGGGACTTAATTCCAAGTTGACATGCCTAGGGCTTCAGTGGAGCCTTCTTGGAGCATTTTTAAAACATGATGACCTAGCATACAAAGAGGGAGGCATGCAAGACCCACAGCTTCCTTCATCACTCCAGTGCAGAGCATCAAGTCAGACTAGAAGACCGGAAGTTCCCCTGTGATTGGGAACATTTGTTTGATGGTGGGTTTGTGATGGCATGGACAGCCTCCACACACAGTAGAGCTCTTCAGATTAATCTCTATTCATCTCAAAATGGAAGTGACCAAGGAAGAATGGATCAAATGCCTGTGTGTTGAGTCAACATGATTTAAATATTGCCTGTTTCCAACTTACATGTTTCAGCATGATGTAGTTTATTCATTTAGTAAGGTCAATGTTGTGATGGAGGAGCTGAAATAAGCACTCACCTCTTAATGGACTTTTCACAGAGCTGTCTGTAAGCAAGGAGGCCTGAAATACCTTTCACATTAAAAACAACAGCAAGACATAATGATGTACATGATGGAGTAAACTTACATCTACAGAAGCTTATCCTACCAATTACTTTCTCTCACTCTCAAAGGTGCAACAAGATCTTTTTGCCCGTAATTATGTAGTTCTGGATGAGATATTTATGCTTATTGGAAAATCTCCTTCATTTAGAATAAGAATTTCTTTATATGAGTGCTTCATTTCATTCTTTAAAAGTGAGGTTAACTGACTATTTACTAGCAGCATGAAAACTGAATGACAGAATAAACAAGGTATTTGTTCTGTCATCTGAACTGGGTGACATAAAAAAGAAGAGATATTACTTAAAAAATGATATATGCATGGCTTTAAAAGGTTGAAATACCCCTTTGGTAAACCAAAGTATGAAGCTTTCAGAAACACTGAAGTTGAACTTCTGTATCAGGTCTAGTTATCTCAGTTCCGGAAAGCAGAACTCTGGCCCCTTTTACATTGCCATGTAAAATCCAGATTATCTGCTTTGAAATGGATTACATGGCAGTGTAGACTCATATAATCCAATTCAATGCAGATAATCTGCATTGTCAGCTTTGATAATCTGGATTATATGGCAGTGGAGAAGGGGTCTCGATCCCCTTGTACAAGTTAGAAAATCATTCTGCCCATACAAATTCAAACCAGTTTTATTTGTGTCTCCTCTCAAATATTCACTTCAATTACGCTTTCACATATATCTGACCTCTGTGCTTGTGTGTGATTGTGCTAGGTTTAATTTATAAAAGGTTTGTAATTTTATGCTATCCATGCTATATCATTCATTGCCCGAAATGAGTAAAACTTCCCTAAATTAGGAATTTTTATTTGGACAGTTCATTTTCCTGAATTGAGTAAAACTTCCCTAAATTAGGATTTTTTATTTGGACAGTTAATTTGCTACCATGGGTAACAGCATTAATCAATTGCATCTGAATGCATCAATGAAGTGGTAACATTTCATGTGCAAGTAGGAGGGGGAGGAGGAAGGGGAAGAAGAACGTGAGGGGGAGTAAGCAACAACAGCTCTAGTGTAAAACTTCCCAAGAAACTGTGAGAATTTCTTGGTGTGTTTCTTTTCTTTTTTTTCTTTCATGTCAGGAGAGACTTGAAAAACTGCAAGTGGATTCTGGTGAGAGAGAATTGGCAGTCTGCAAGGACATTGCCCAGAGGACGCCTGGATGTTTTGATGCTTTACCATCCTTGTGGGAGGCTTCTCTCATGTCCCCACATGGGAAGCTAAAGCTGACAGATGGGAGCTTACCCCACTCCCCAGCTGGCACAAGGGTTTAATCCATTGCACCACTGGGGACATTTTTCCATAATTAAAGTGCATAAAATTAATGAGGCAGCACCTGACAACAGGGGTAAATAGCAGGCAATCTCACTCATTCAACTGTGCAAATTCACAAAATTGATTAGAATTCCAGCTGTTTTGCTCAAAGGAAATACAGATTTTCTTAAAAGCAATCTTTTCCATATATTTTATAGGATTTCCTTAGGAATGTCCATTTCACAAAAATTACTCCCAGGTTACTCATCATCTAAGGTACAAAGATGTGCCCTGTTGCTTTATCATATGCTTTTGCTGTTAGGAGAAGGCAGCAACAGGGAGAAAGCAGAGTTCATTGGGAAAGAGACTGAGAAAGAACAGAATTCTGGGAAATGTAGTTTAGGGAGGTGAGGAGCTCTATGCCAGAGAATTCGAAACACACCGCCCTAAACTACATTTCCCAGAATTCTGCTCAGCATCAGAAAGCCTCAATCAGGAGAGGGGAAAGATTTGTCCTTCCATAGCAGCAGCCAGTCAGAGTCCCGAGAAATTGTTGAATCTGCAAAGAGGAGGACTGACTGATACTTCTAGTAAGTAAATCCATGTGCTGGGCTGGGAAGAAATCCCTAAATGGAAATTCTATTGATTAACATGAGAGAGAGAGAGAGAGAGAGAGAGAGAGAGAGATATTCAATGAGATAGCTGTTATGGCTTTTTAAAAGTTTTTGTCAAAACTTTTTTTAAATCCCTAAAATCAGTAGGTGTATGAATATTTCTGAAAGTGGGGGGGAATGACCCCGTTACCTTATGATATTGTATAGAAAATTCAATGAGATAGTAGTTTCTTGTAGTTTTTTTTAAACATGTTTATAAAAACTTTGAAATTTCTCCAAAAATCAGTGGATAAGTGAAACATTCTGAAACTTTGTGGGCTACCTGTGGTAAATATGTTCAACTTTTGTAGCAAGTTTCACCCTAATAGCTGTAAAAATGAGTGAGAAAGGAGCCCTTGTAGTTTCCCCACTTGCCCAATTTCTATAATGAGAAAGTAACAAAATGTCATTACACTTGCTGTAGTAACAAGGCTTTCACTACTGATACTTTAGAAACACTTTAGAAATGAAATGCCAGCCCCTAATTTTATGAGTTTTGAAACATTTTTTAATCGGTCGCACAGCCCTTGTAGAGACATTACTGTAACGAACACTAATCAAAAGGCAAACTTTTTCTTTAGTTATCCTCTTTATCTCAGAAAGTATTTCCTTCATGATAATTTTATTCCTCATCCCACATCCCTGGCATTAATTCTAGAAGTAATACAGAACTGTATTGCAACAACAGGGAGATTAGTTTTCCCAGGAGTATCATGTCAAACTCCAGAGGGTAGTGATATCTAGGGCCCATCCAGACAGCTCCTTTAATGCGGGAGTTCCTGAAATTAAAAGGGGGCTGCCTAGATGATGTTCCTGAGAAACATGACTTAATTCGCCTCAAACCAGGAAAATCCTGCTTTGTGGCAAATTAATTTGTTAGTGGGTTTATTCCATGCTTTCTTGGAAGGCGTGGGATAAACCCACTACTTACACTGTCTGGACTACTCCCTCAAAATTTCTGGGCTTTTGAGGGGGCAGTCCAGACAGTAGTCCCATGTTTTTGCAGGCTAAAGGGGGGAGGGAGGAGGAAAATTTCCCCTGCCCCCCCCCCTGCCCAGCATATCATTTCTACAGACCAGGAGAGCTCTGGTGCCACTCTAATGGAGGCCAGGTAAGTTCTTTTTATTTTTAAAGGGCTTTTGGGGAGGGGGTTAGAGTGCCTGGGTGTACTTCCAGAAAGTTCCAGGAATACATCTGGACACCCACCCCAGAAAGTACATGCTTTCTGCGGGGAGGGTGGGTAGATGGAGACCCAGGAACATTCACATTTTTAAAATGTGAATGTTCCTGGGATAAAGGGCTATGTGGAAGTGCCCCCACTTCTTTCGGAGGAGTTGCACTTCTTGCTGAGGAGTCAGAGAATTTAAAGAATTTGTCAGGGCCAAGTTAGAGGTGAATTTATCTTGTATTTACCTTTTTCCTCCTAAAGTTAAATACTGTTAAAAGACATTAAGGCCCCTTCTAAACTGCCATATAAATTCCAGATTATCTGCATTGAACTGGATTATATGGCATTGTATAATTCAGTTCAAAGTAAATTATTTGATTTGATAATCTGGATTAAATGGCAGTGTAGATCCAGCCTAAGAAGGATTAAGAGCTATTTGTTCTTTGAGTCTGCCTTTCAGGAGCTGACTGAATGGGGAGCAACCAGCTTTGGCTTCCCCATGGAGTTCAGGTATTTCTTCCAGGGGATGAAAAGAACATCAAGAACTGATGCCTGCCCCAGCTGACCCCATACTACATTACGTCCCCTTCTTCCTCTATTCTAGGTTCAATACAATGAAGTGGACCTTATTCAACCCAATCATCTATGCTTGAGTGAGCAAGGCAACACCTTTATAAAAATGGTTTGAAATAGGAAGGAAACATTCACTGATATAAATGGGTGTCTTTCTCCCCCAGCAAACTGTAGGTGTAAACTGGGAGAGACATGTTCCATTACTACCCTTCATGTATCATGTACCTCCAATTTGATGTGTATCCTATTTCCTTGCAAATCATGAGAGGCATATTTTGAGAACGAATGGCTTATTTTTTTGTTTCACTTAATTGCCTTATATTGAAAAATATCACAAAGGCTAGAAAGAAATAAAACCTTTCTTTCTAAATGCATAACAAGCTAGTTAACATCTAAGGAATTAATTTTATGGAGTAATTTTCACAGAACTAAGATCTTTTTCATTTTGAAGAAAATCTCATTAAAGTGCCTTTCATCTGAACTTTCTTATGCATGCATTGCTAATTTTCACCAGCTCTTATTATGAACAGAATTTCTAAAAATTGCACAACTTTTTGTCAGTGAAAGCCTGAAATACATATCAGACTATGTTTTCTTCAAAGTATGTCCATTCATATGGGAAAAAAATCAACATTGCAGATAAAGACCTTTATTGATGTTCTTCAGACATGTGTTAAATTAGTCGATGGCGGGGTCTCAATATTACTCTTATTTTCTTTAACTTCATTCAGAGGTGAGCTGCTACCAATCTGGCATTTGAACACTTGCTTATAAGCCTTCCTAAAATTTTCAGAAAGGAAAGCATATATAATAGGATTCACAGAAGAATTGCTGTAAGCCAGGCAATGTGCTATCACTCTGAACAGAAATGAAGCTTGAGTCAGAGGGAAGTCTCCAAATTCCGCCCAGAGGTGTACAATATGATGCGGCAGCCAGGATATCCCAAAAACCACAACAACAACCAGGACTGTTTGTGCTGTCTGAGAAAGGAAATAAAAAAAATCAGATTATTTATTAACAAGTGAACACAAGGCCTTCACACGCAAATTTAAACATGACTGGGAAATAATGAAAGGGTATGCCTACAGTGTATTTTCATACATGCAACTGAAATATAATGATGGAGTATTAACCAAAAAAACAAAGTTCAAGTACTACACAGTGATAAGAATCCATCTGTCATCACACCAATTACATTTAGGTAATCCTAAATGTATTCACTAGGGAGTAATATGAATGGAAATAATGTTCAAAATATTTGAAAAAATGTTGAAAATATGTATTTTTTAGTGTTGAGAAATACAAAAAAATAACAGCATTAAAAGCTGTTTATGTGCAAAATTCGCACATGGTTGATTTGCACACAAAACAGCATTTTCTGTCCAAAAAAAGCTTCCATTGTGCAGAAAATGCTGCCCTCTGTGTAAAACAGCAAGTAGCAAATGTTTCACAGAATAAATCGTGAATTGTGAAGAGGCCTTCAAAACTGTGTGGTTCTTGCAATGGTGGTGGTGGTAATGGTGGCGGTGGGGAATTACTAAAACTAACTGTTGCTTTCTTCAATAAGAAATCTAGTGAAAAAGTGCATCCCTGGAGAATAAGCATAATGCATGTTTCTGAATTACACGATTATATCTGTGTCATATTGCTTTAATTGTCATGATTCTGTTCTGAGGAATAGTATGAATCAAATAAAATGGTGTGGTGCAGATACAACTATATTTAGGGTTGTACTGAAGAATACTACTTCTTCTTTTGAACTATTTTAGGTAAGCCCTGCTAGACTCCAATCTGGTATTTGGAGTCTAGACTCTAGAGAATAAGATAACAGGGCAGGATCCTTCAATGAACTAATATATTCTTCTAAGAATAATATACCCATATTTAATCGAGTCTAATGCGCCATCGAATCTAATGCGCACCTCAATTTTCAAAACCCTGTAACAAAAAAAAGTATTTGTTAACAAATATAATATGCCCAATAGTGTTGCTGTCTGCTTATAATTCCTTTTTAAACCAATTGTGTTGGAACACCAAATCTTTGGGCAATAGAAAAGAAACTTTGGAGTGCATCCTTCTATAGAATGAATCCACTTTAACTGCCTTGATTCAATGCTGTGGAATCATGGGGGCTGTACCTTTACAAGGCCTTGAACCTTCTCTGCCAAAGAGTGTGGATACCTCATGAAACTACAAATCCCAGGATTACATAGCATTGAACTATGACAATGAAATTACAGATTGCCTCCCTCAAACAGAAGCTCCAGGTGCTCCTGAAACGGCTTCCCCTATTGCTTTGACTCAGCACTAAGATCACCATATTACACCAATTTTATCTTGGCAATGTAATTTAGCCCAAAAAGGTGAGCATTAGATTTGAGTAAATATAGTAGTGGCTACAGGGGAAGAAAACATCACCACAACAATAACCTGAACACCTTGATGGTTCTCAGGTATCTCATCATTTCTGAGGCCATAAAAACAGGAGAGGTAGCCGTTTTAGGGATGTTAGTGAAGTACCCCACTAGCCACACATCAGTCTATTTGGGAAGGAAAAACATATGCAAGCACCTCCCTAGATCTGGCTGAACTTCCAGTCCTATATAAATCCTCATGAACTGCATAACTGTCAAAGCAACAATTCCCTGAGAGTGCTGGTGCAAAGTTTACCTAGAAAATAGATATGATCTAATCTTTAACTCCAAGTTCAACTACAAGTTTAAATATAATTATTTACATGTATGCTGGCATTGAATTTTTGCCATAAGTATGTTGTAAACAACCTTGAGTCTCCCCCAGGGGTGAGAAAGGCATGTATAAATATAGTAAATAAATAAATTACAGTGCTGGAGTGAATCACATAGTGAAGTACAGGCCACACTGTTTTTCAGGTGACAATAAAATACTGACAAATTGCATTCTTTTCCTTATATTCTCGGTATTTTAGTCTTGTGTGCCATATAATTAATCCTTTGGCTACAGTTTATCACTATATTATTGGGAAAACAAATAAAATGAATCTTCAAAGACATCTACACTGACACTATCATGCATCTTAGAACTGGTTTGGGAGGAACTAGTTTCGCTGTACAGGTAATGAAATTGACAGGTCTGGAATGGGGTTGAGGCCAGGAAAATGATTGTATTAATGATGGAATCTATCCTTGAAGAACTCTATGTTTACTGCCATTTTCAGTGCTCCAGAGGCATAAGAGGTGTATAAAAAAGGGAAATAACAATTAGGAGAGGAGAGGGTCAATTAATCCCCTGCTAGTCAGCATTTGGGCATTTTTCGGCATCCCCTTCATTCTAAATTCTACACAGTGTTTCAGCAAAGATTGGAGTCTACAATGTGCTTGTCATTCTATGAAGCCAATTTCACCCTGGGACCTGGGATATAATGTTATCTGATGCAGCACATTAAAGAGCTTAACTTGGACTTTCCTATGACTTTGTTTAATGTGCTATATACCATTTAATCCATGCTGCAGCACACATTGGGCTTTTTGTAGCTGCTGTTGGCTTGGAACCGCATTAAATTGTCAGTGTAGAAGAGCTCTTAGTCTGAAATACTGTGACAAACCGATTTCATGCCTATTAATCTAGCTCTGAAACTAATATTTCTTTCATATACACTTATAAGGACAGATAATTTCTTTTTCTGTTACATTTGGACTCACTTGTTAAAAACTATGACACTCTGAATATAACTGATGACACAGTTTGACCCTCTAGATCTTAACATTTCTCTTTCTTAACACAGATAATTCCTACATAACAGTCTTAAAATCCATAGCAACATCTTATTCTAATATAATCCAACACTATTAATATATTATTGGTATAATCTGCAAGCACAGTGACATTAGAGGTCTATCATTGTTTCTTTTGTCCAATCACTCAAGAATTTCCCTTGAAAAATGCAAATATATGAAATAAAATATCAATAAGCATGAAACTCATGAGCATTAAAGACAAGATACGAGAAATTCATGGTAAAATGCATTATTTCTCCCCAATCTGTTTCTTGCCTGGCTGTAATATTTACTCATGAATGCACATTTTATTATGAATTGATAGGTAATTTGCCAATTGGAGCAACATCTTAGGATGGTTACCTATGAGAGGTTACCTAATGAGCTCCTTCAACCTGCTGCTGAATGAGTCCCTGAAACACATCTAACCGTGAGGATACGGTTTTATTGTTCTATCAGTGGGTTTGTGGACTGAGCATTGTTTTAATGACTGTTATGATAATTTGGTTATAATTAATTGCTATTGTTTTAACTCTGTATTTCTTTATGGTTTTATACTGTGTTATTGATTGGGGCATCGAATTGCTGCCTCTGTTAGCTGCTCTGAGTCCCCGTCCCCCCTGTAAATGCTGTAAATAAATAAATAAATAAACCTATATACCTCTGTATAAATCAACCTAAATCATGGGCAAAATCCATAATTCTGAGACCCAGACTACAGATTTTGATATCACCTGAAAATAAATCAAAAGCAATTCTGCAAGGAGGGGGAAAGTGCCAGTGCCATTTCAGGAGACCAGCTGGTTGTTGCTGCCACCTTTTTCCCACCCAGGCATTCACAAAAACATTTCATCACTATTCAGAGAAAGGAATTGTTCCCTTATTGATACAAGTTGAATATACAATATTAAGTCTTTTCTAAAAAGGAATCATCCCCTTCTCTGAGTAGAGTAGCAAAAGGTAACAGTTTACTGCATCCTAGAAAAATTGACCCTCTCTACTCTCTTGGCATTCCTTAGAGGGGAAGTTTCGAAGAGCTGTTCTCATATCTGCCATATTCCCACCTAGGTATTCAAAAAGGCCCAAAGTGGCACCATGATGGAGCGAAAGTAGATGAGGTTTTTGCTTCTTTTAGATTTTCCTAGGGCAGACTAAGCTCTGGCCATTTGCCACTCAGAGAAGCGACAGTTGCTTTTTTGATAAGAGTTAAGGCACAGTCATTACATTGACCTATGAATAAGCCTACCTAAGCTTTTTCAGTGGAGAAGAGAATTCTTTGACTAAAAATTCTAGACATATACATGAATATACATAATATATGCAAGGTAGCTCCCCAAACTTGTGCTACAAGTCAAACTGCAGAACCTATTGAAGGGTAGACTCATGGATAAGTGAAAGGTCTGATTTTCTATTTTAACATTATTGGCTCTTCATTATTTATGTATTATATTTATTGAATCTATTCTGTAAATATACAGATGACAATATAAAGTCAGAAACAAAGGGGAAAAGAAGCACATTTTTCAGAGGGACAACATAGCAGAGCACATTAGAAAGAACTGGAAGGAATCGGTGATTGTGATTCTTACAAATCTTCCATTTTGCAAAAAGATGAAAAGGTTGCCTTGATCTTTATGCAAGTGGGTTCTTCAGTCCCATGATTTTGAGTGGCCACAAATCACATTAGTAGTGGTGTGAGTGGACACACTGGAGCATGTGTGTACATGTCATCATCACTTATGTGGTATCCCACAAGGTGCCATTCTATTCCCAATGCTCTTTAATATTTACATGAAGACGCTAGGAGAGATCATCCATAGGCTTATCAGTATACTGATGACACCCAAATATACAGTATTTCTCTATTCTTTCAAAAACAACATCAACTAAGGATAATGTGTCTCCTCTTAATGTATGCCTGGAGGAGGTAATTGGCTGGATGAGGAAAAACAAATTGAATCTAGACAAAACAGAGGGTTTTGTTATCAAGGGTCCTAATCTGGGGGTGGAGGTGTGTCAACCAGTTCTGGATGGGGTTACACCCCCCCCCCCCCCCCCAAAAAAAAAGAAGTGTTCGGAGCTTGTGAGTGCTCCTGGATCTGTCTCTCCAAATGTCAGACCAGATAGATGTGACAGTCAGGAGTGCTTACTACTAGCTTCAGTTAATCCACCAGCTGCACCCTTTCCTAGATTTGGAGGACCTGAAGATGGTAGTGCACACACTGGTAACCTCAAGTTTGGACTTCTGCAATTAGTTTTACATTGGGCTACATTTGTGTAAAGTTTGGAAACTCCAGTTGGTTCAAAATATGTAGGTCCAGGTTACCTACAGGATTGCCTCTCCCATACAATCTGCCCCAAACACTGAGGTCCTCTGGGGGGTGGTTACTCCAGCCTGCCAGAACTCAATTGGCAACCATCACCCAGGGAACCTTTCTATCAGTCACCCGTAGACTGTGGAATAACCTGCCGGAAGAGCTCCAACAGCTAAATGAATTGTCAGAATTTTCAAACTATCTAAAGACCTATCTCTTCCAGCTGACCCAACCAGTTTTTAAGTAGGAATTTTAAACTTGTGTCCTTTGTTTAATCTCTGTTTTGTGTATTCTAACATGTATTTTATAGAAATATGTTTTAATATGTATCTATTATAAAATATATTTTAATATGGGTATTTGTAGTATTTTTACAATGTGTGCGTGTTTTAATTATTATGTAACCCTCAAGCAACAAGGAGAAGCAGGTAAGAAATAAAATTATTATTATTATTATTATTATTATTATTATTATTATTATTATTATTATTATTGGGTATGACTATCCATGTTTATTCATATCTGCATGGATCCTGCAACTGAGCTCCAATGGAAATGGCAGGCCCACTGTAATTCTTTAGTGTCCTAAATGTATTTGATTATACAATTACTGAACTGCATTATACTATTGAGAATATGTCACAGCTCTTTAAAAAACATGTGTGGGGATCAGATTTAAAAGGATTTTCATTGGAATTCTTAATTCTTTTCAGCCTATTTTCAAAATGTCAACTACCCATCATTTCTGAGATTTAGTTGTATAATATATGTCATAAATTTTGGTATTCTTTTGGCCGCCATATGTACTAAAATGCTTTGGTAAATGTCATCTTTTACTGATTAAAAATGAAAATGAATAACATTAGGTCATTAGCAGCCTTGACATTTACCTGTTTTGAAAGGAAATGTTGTCAAGTCCTAGGCTGTATCATCGAATAAATACACGATGATGCACAAAAACATTTCATTAGAAATCTAATTAGGCCTCTGAACAATACAATCTTCTGAATGGCTACACAAGAAGTAATTCCTATTCGACAATACAATTCCTATTAAGTTTGGATACAGCCAGGAGCAACTACATATATGTATGTATATCTGTGTGTCAATCTCAGCTAACTCAGTGGGTTTTAACTTCTCAGTATCCTCTTATAGGATTGAACTTAAATGGATTTGTTTGTAAATACAAATCTTGATCTTCAGTAAGATGGATTCTGAGATAAACAAATCTAATGACAACAATAATTTTATAGTCTGTTTAACTTTTTTTAAAAAAATGATTTTATTAATACATTGGAAATAATTTTAACTAGTCCACACTTAAAACTATCTCCACCCTTTTAAATATAAAAGATGTATGGTTTCCCTATCAAAGTTTGCCAGAATGTCTGATTAGTGGCCTGAATTTATAAGCTTTTTTAGTAAGAAGATCAAAATCGATTGGTTTTCCTACATGACCATCTTAGACAAAATTTGCACTACTCAGTACCTTGTATGCTCTCGTAAATGCCTGCTTCATTCTCCCACATACATGTTCAGATAATTACACTATTTCAGACAAATATTTCTACAACATACACTTCCTTCTCCTGTTCCATTTGGGATTTTGTCTACCATCTCATCTGATGATGAGTTCTGAAGAACTCCAGATACTGCATACTACTGTTGGTTGTATAGCATAATAAGAATATTGGCTAAAACAGATATTGGAAAAAGCTTTTTTTTTACCTTTTTCTTTGATGCTTCTGATTTCTTCGATATGTTCCTTAGCTTCTTATGAAGATGATTGAGGACCTGCAAAGAGAAATGTATGCAAACTGACAAAAAATATGAACACAAATGGATGATTTATGCAAATTGGATTTCTTTTTTTAAAAAAAGATCATTTGATTTGCAGGAGAGGTTCAAAATTCCCATGCAACACCCAAAATGCCAGTAGGCGAAACACTGAATCATAACTCCCCCCAATACCTGCCAGGAAGAAACCTAATTACTCAACACCACCCAAAACCAATTGTCCATAACTCTGTGACAGTGTAGGGTAGACAAAAAAAATGAAAAGAGGTGTAAAATTCCTACCTGGTCCCTAGGGCAACCACATTACCCTACACTACAAAACAAGGTGGGTGGGTGAGCCAATTAATTTAAAATGAGAGTGTGTGGCTGACTTAAACTACACACTCCCTCATCCCATAGTGATATTCAACTGCTTTTTGGCCATCTCTGGATGCCAGCAAATTAATTTACCCCATCTTCACTGCTTTATTGTGGGGTAAATATAAATAACAATGACACTACTACTACTACTGGTACTACTAATACTAATAGTAATCACAATGGTAATAACAATAAAAGCAATAACTTTTCTGTCAAATTGCCCATTTTGGGGGTATTTATTCAAACCTTCGCGGACTCCATGGGATGATATTGCGACCTCCCAAAGGTCCCCAGACCACAGGTTGAGAACCACTGCCCTAATTTGAGATGCAAATTAACATTCTTTGTATGTGTATGTATATGTATAGAAGCAGAAATATGTCATATAATGCATTGATTCCAGTAACATGTTCACTGTTTTAGAAATAAAATCTAATAATTTTTCCTTCAAAATAACAGTATTCAATATCAGAATCATCCTAATATATCAGACCTATCCTAATGTCGATGAAAGGTAATTGCAACTGCCATATGGAAATGCCATATGGTCACATCAAGTTATCTGTAAATAGACTCATATATGGGTCCATTTGTGCCCAGTAGACCACAAGGAATTCTTATCTTCATGGAGATGAGTTAGAATGTACCTCCTGAGAAGCAACATAAATGTGTGGGCTTCTTGGAGGAGGTGAAAGCAACAGAAAACCAGGAGTGGCCATGGCACTGCTCACCAGATTTTAGGCAGTAAGACTACAATCAGGTCCATTAGAGGTAACTCATAGTTACAAATGGGGGTGAGGCAACAGGAAAAGAAATCTACCCATTGGAAGGGAAATTTAGTCCTGAAAGAGTTGTCATGGCTTCAGCACCAATCCTTATTTTCAGAACAAGCCAAATTTTTCAAAATCCAATTCTCACAGGAGGTGAAATTCTCTGAACAGACATCAAAACAAACACTACAGGGGTGTTAACCCTTCCCTATGCTATCCAAAGCACGTGCGTGTGTATATAGATATAGAATTTCACTTTAAAATGTACTTGTTCTGACTTACATACAAATTCGGCTTAAGAACAAACCTTCAGAACCTATCTTATTCATAATTTAGAAAATGCCTGTATTATAAATATAACTGTGATAATTTATAGTTAGACACAGAAAGAAAACACCAAGGAATACATAGTCTCATCTGTCATATTCTATAAAAACTGAGGTGTATATAAGAGTTTTCCATAGTGTTTTACACAGAATGAGCTGTACACAGAAATATCATGAACTATACTCATTGCCTTGGAGCCCCTGGTGGCGCAGTGGGTTAAACCGCTGAGCTGCTGAAATTGCCGACTGAAAGGTCGCAGGTTCTAATCTGGGGAGTGGGGTGAGCTCCCACTGTTAGCCCCAGCTTCTGCCAACCTAGCAGTTTGAAAAAAAGCAAATGTGAGTAGCTCAATAGGCACCACTCCGGCGGGAAGGTAACAACACTCCATGCAGTCATGCAAGCCACATGAACTTGGAGGTGTCTATGAACAACACTGGCTCTTCAGCTTAGAAATGGAGATGAGCACCAAACCCGAGTCGGAAATGACTGGACTTAATGTCAGAGAAAAACCTTTAACTTTTATACTCATTGCCTTTGGTCCCATGGTTTACATTCCCATCCCAAATTACTCTGCTTGCTATTTGAGAGATAACATCTGAAGAAGTGGGGTACACATTCATGTCACATCTGTTTCAGTTATGATATGAGGTTCATTAGCCTGCTAGGCTTTTTAAAGTCTAGAGGTGCATTTAAAAGTACTACAGCACAGCAGTTGATAGTACTTAACATTTTTTTCTGAATAAATGAGGCCTCTCCAATCCCTCCATGGGGACTACTTAAAGTTATCAGTAATCCATTTTCTTTGCTCTCAGACTGACCTGCTTTTAGATGTCAGGATTTTATTTAAAAAGTAGATCTGACATATTCCTAATTTACATTTCTTATGTAATATATTACTAGCAGTATTATGGTTAGTCAGTCTCTTTATTGGGTTGTTGTAGGTTTTAGTTGTAGGTTTTGTTGTAGTCTCTTTATTTCTTTTAGATCTGCCAAGAAACTTGCAGTCTTATTCTATTTTATCAGTCTTGCCTATGACAATAATATATATTTTTTCAGTCTGACAAGCTTTCAGATTATAGGTTTTGCAAGAGTTGTATTACTAAATTTAATCAGAGCTCCATGCAAAAGGTCCCATACACATTCCAGCTGGAAACTATCCTCACAAGATTAGAATCTGAGAACATTGTCACAGGCTAAAAAGAAAACACACCGCAGCCTTAAAAAATTAAAGTGGTTTTAAATCACAGATCTCTGAAGTATCTTACCAAATTTGGTTTTTAAAATAATTTAATAGCGCTAGATGAAAGCATGCTCTTTTTCTCAGGGTGGCCCTATCATTGAGCAAGGCCTTGGGTTTTGATGCTATGAAAGGATAGAAAATCTAGTTGACTCTTATATAACTAGACCGGAAACAACCAAAACTCTAAAACAACTGGCAAAAAGTAATAAAACTGCATTCATAAAATTATTTCTATAATAAAGTAAAACTGTGATACATTAAGTCTGCCTTTATTTGCCCTTAATTACAGTATTTCAATACTTATATCAAGTCAATACAAAGTTTATATAGTATAGAATATAATATAAGTTCTATTTTAATAATAACTCGCAAGCAACCAAAACTATCTTTATCCAACATCTACCAATTCCCATGCATACCACTAATCTGTAGTTATTTTTGTTGTTATAATTTTACTCGCACATAGCAAAATTGTGGAATATGTTCAGGAGTTTAATGATGCAGTCCAAATAAATTCACCAGTTTTGCCCCACAGAAAATCAATAGTGGCTTCCATGTTCATGAGGTGGTCCTGGCCCAGGTTTTTCACTCACAGCCTCTTTTAGCCCAAGAAATGTTTGTGTATGTAATTCAACCTGGTTTAGAATTTGATTTCAGAATTTTTGTATCTCTTCATACTTCTACCATAGATGTAAATACCATGCTTCCCGACTCCCACAATGCCAACATTTAGGATTTAATCCCTGAATGGAGGACCTTCTTATAGCAACACCAGAGGCACTCCAAGTGGCTAGCTACTGGTCAACAGACATGTAATATAATGCCAAGTTTTTAAACTTTGTGTTTTCTCAAACACATCACAACTGTATCCTTGGTTCGCTCCTGATACGATAAATAAATAAATATCCCTGAATCATAAGTGCCAGGTGAATTTGTGTTCTATACCATTTGGTATTATTTTCAATTCTAATTCCTTGTATTTTTCTATTTTTATTTTATTTAAACCATTGATTATCTTTTCTATATATTTTTCTTTTTCTAGTCCCCCTTCCCTTTTCCCACTTGTTTTCCATTATTCTATACATAGATAACTTATCTTCTATCATACTTCCATATATTTTATTAAGTCCATTTTTGCCTCCAAATCTCTCTTCTAATATCTTGCCTATTGTATTTTCTCCCTTAATACTTTCTTCCTTTTTAATTTGTTCCCAAATTCCTCTTAGTGTGTATCCTGCCCCCTAAAGTTATTATGGTTCTGTATTTTAAAAAATCAAATTATTTTTTTAAAGAAATGTTTACATGACCTTGGATATATGGGTATGTAAAATAGATATAAAAATCAAATATTTACTGATAACAAAGCAGAATTTGCAAAGCTCACTAAACAGGTTAATTTCAAGTACAAGTGAAGTTTTTTTTGTTTTTGTTTTTTTTGCAGAGTACACTGTAAACATGACACAACAGATTCATGTAAATGTCTAAAACAGCCACAGGGTAACATTCAGAACATGTTCACTATTGTCAAATTTTGTAGGACACCAACACTAAGAGAACCCTATTTGGGATCAGGACCCACAATTTGAGAAGCAGTGTCCTAGTCTATATATTAAAAGAGCTATCCAAGGTCCTTAACTCCATTCCTAAAATACAGTAATCTCATCACGTTGGGCAACATCTTCAAAGTTTAGACTAAAATCCAAAGCAGGTAAACTGCCTCACTGACACAGAAGCCTTCCACTTCCTGAGTAGGATCCAGGGACATTTCAATCCAGACAGATGAGATTATGCTATTGAGAGAAGAATTTACTTTGTTATGGCATGAAGGATACATTTATCAAACTGTCTTGCTAAGATTATGATAATGATGCATTGAATGATGGGCAATTGAGAAAATTAAGGAACACTACTTTAAAGCAGCCTCTAGAGGTTTAACAGAATTATTGAGCTGATTTTCTGCATGCCATGCCTCACCAATATCCACTTCTCTCTTTGTTCTCACACTGAATTTTAATATTTTAAAAGCATTCTTGTCTAGCCCAGAGAAAAATGAATTCCTTACATAAAAGTATCATTGATCCTAGTTTTTATGTACTAATGCTTTTATCTTTTCCCAACAGGGAAAAAACGAATAGGTCTTCATTTACCTGAGTTTTCACAGGCTTTTACAATACCAAAAAGATAGGGGAAAAATTAGGGGAAAGGGACTGAGTAGGCTGAAAGAGCAAACACAAATACCTTTCACAAATCAATAAAGAGAAAAGTCACAATTACAGCACCACAACTTGATGAAATGCTTA